CGACTAGCGCCAACTTGCGGCAGGCTCTGGGTGGGCACTGCGGGGAACCTAGAAATGAATGACGGCCTTGACTGTGTCCTCAGGAGGGTACGTTGTAGTGGAAAGATACAACGTGCACCTAAACAGCTATAAATACGCTCCGGAAGGCTCGGATGAAGTGCGAGACGTCTTCGTGCTGCTGAGAGCTGTCTGTCATCCAGGAGGCTCGTGGAGAATGTTATCGTGGAGCGGGTGCAATTTGAGGGGTGTTTTGACAAGAATAGAATGTATGTGAAGATTCTGAAGGAACTGAGAGACGGCACTCAGCAGTGTAGCAGCGGTCCCGTGGTTAACAAGACTGGCGGCGCGCCAGGTTGGCCGGGTCTGCAGCGTGTCTACAGGTTCACTCACTCAGCAGCATTCAGAACTGAAATGCGGTCCTCCTCTGCTTTGCTCCTGGAGAACCCAGGTCACCCAGTCCCTGACGCACGGTCGTGTGGGCGTCGGCCCGCACTGGTCGGTGCCGGTGGCCCAGGAAGAGCCAGCCGGTTCTTGCCCAGACAGCGGCTGTGCCTGGCCCATCTCCGGCCCATCCTTGCAAGGGAGTCATGGGCTGCCTCGCCCGGGAGAGGCGAAAGGTGGCGAAGTGTAGCTGCTTGGAAGGCCCACCGCTCTCCTGGGTGGGTGGGCTTTCATTCTGGCCAATCTCTGTGAGATAGGTTTTCCACTCTTTAAAAAAAAAAATACAGTTTTTACTCAATACACAGGGGATTCGATTAAAGGCATTTTATGTTGCCTCAGACTGAAATCCTTTGAGGTGCGGAAGAGAAGGGGGGAGGAGGGGGTGACGGGTTGGAGTAAGGTGGAAGGCATGGGCGGTTACATCCCCGAGACCGCAAACGTCGCCTTGCGTGGACAGCCAGGGCCGGGAGGCCGCTCACTGCCATCCAGTCCCGGGGAGAAGTAGGGGTTCAGAGCTTTCGCCAGAGTTTGCTGGTCCCTTACAGCCCACTGTATCATCTGTTTAAACAGGGAGGAGAATACTTTGCTGAACTTGTCCCGATTTGAAGTCACCAAGTGCTTCACTGGTGGAGGGCAGTGACAGAACCTCCAAGGGTCACTGAGCTATGATCCAATAGGTTGAAAACATATTTACAAGTAACCATTCAAACAGCATCCACCTGGAACTCGATGCGCAGCTCTCACCCTGCTCTGCGGAAGCGGTGGTCCTGGCTGGCTACAGGACGGTCCCTCCGTCCCCGCGGAGGGCGGTGCGGGCTCTTCGACTGTGCTGTTTTAGCACAGTGATTTCAGAAGTCGTGCTTCTTTCTAACTAGCGCGCTTTTTTTTTATGGGAATTTTAAGCCGTGTGACTCCTGGGTCCACACAGTCTGGATCGTGGAGCGCCCCGGGTTGTGTCCTCACAACCGCGTCGAAGTCATCGAAGAGCTCACGTGTCCGTCTGTCTGCTCACGACCTGCAGGGCTGTGCCTTGCCCCTCCCCCCAGCTCCTGCTCCGTCTGCGGGAGGGCGGGCCAGCCACCTGGGCGAACTAACACGTCCCCTGGAAAGGATGTCCTCCGGCTCTTTGAGATGCAATTCAAATAAATTCGGCACATTTATTTCCGTTGCTGGCATGATGCTTGGCTCCAACAGGGAGGTATCTGGAGGGTGGCGGCCTCAGAGGAAGGGGGTGCGTGGGTGGAAATGCAGTGTTCCCCAAAGGTTGTGCCCTTTTGCAGGTGATGAAATCAGTGCAGTGGGTTTCCGTCAGCGCGGTTGGAAAAGGTAGGATGGAAAATGTCTCGCTCCACAGCACACAGTGAGAGCAAACGCCGCCGCGTGGTTTTCTCAGTAACCCACTGACACGCGTGTGTCGTGGGCACGACGTGGCGCGATCACTGTGAGCACCAATCAGAAGTCAGAAAGCCACCGTGCCCATGGGCTCTTACACCCCTGGAAAGGGCACGACAGTAAGGAGAATCTGTAAATTGTACGTGCTTCCCGCAGTTCTTAAAAACCACCTTAACAGCCAGGAGTCTGTTCTCAGCCGGGGTCTAAACCCCCTCCACGGCCTCATCCGTTCGGCCCCACAAACGTCCCCACCCCGGTCCTCCGTGCGCTGTGCTCTCTGCCCTCCGAGGGCCCTCCGTCCGCGGTCACCTGGCCGCCTGGTCGCAGCCGTGGCGCGGTCCTGCGGTCCCGAAGGTCTCGCTGCTCACGCTTGCAGGGTCTGGAGCGTGGTGGTGTGTTGCACACGCACAGCAGAGGATGCCATTGTGCGTTAAACGTGCGTTTCTTTGGCAAACTGAAGTCACTCGGGGTAGCCTTCTCCTCAGTCACCATTTTGAGACAGACGAATCCAAGGTACTTTTCTTCCAGATGTGTTCCTGAATAACTGTTAGTTCTAGCCTGTGGAATTCTATACCCAGCAGGAAGACCCTGCACGTTAGTGGAGGCGAGATAAAGACACTTCCAGACAAACGTGCCTCTGAACCCAGCCGCTGCGTCACGGCCCCGCGGCCTCTGCCTCCCTTCCCGCCCGTGGGCGGCGCCCTCCTGTCCCACTAGCTGCTTTCCCTTCTTTAGGGGTCGTGCGCCGACTCCCAGGAGCCCTTCCTCCGAGACCTCTTACAGCCCAGCTCGGGTACAGCTGCCGGAGACCTGCGACAGGGCCCCCTGGGACCCCCACAGCTCTGGAACGGGTCCTGCGCTTCCCTGGAGAGTGGGCTCCTCCCCGACTTCCCAGGACTGGGGTCTGCCTCTGCGCTCCGATCCCCTGCAGGCCGGGGACCCCTGACTGTCTGTCCGGCCCTGGTGCGCTCTGGCCTGGCCGACTCAGGACCCTGGATTTCCTGTGGTTTGGGTGGGTGTGTGTGCATGTGTGTGTGTTGTATCCGCTATTCTAGTTGTTCTCGGAAGATACCATTGGTTTGCTATAAGCTACTTTGTCAGCCAGAAACAGTGGTTTATTTTCTTTGTGTTGGAACTGTTTTCTGGATAGTGTATTTGTGCAAAAATTCAACCACCCACCTCAGAGTTAGCAGGTAAGGGGCGGTTTTGTAGCTAGGCTACCAGGTCAGGTGGAGGGGCCAGGGTCCCTGAGCTTTTCATCTGCCTGACGACCCTGCCCTCTGTGACCTTCCGGTACACGTGCCTCGTTGCTCCCACTTTCGAACGTTATGTGTTTCTTGTACTGAAGGCAATAGTTCGAGCAAGTCTTTGAGTGAATGGATATTTTGATTCAGATGGTGAAAAATTTAATAATCTACCAACATTCAGATTTTATATTAAAAGGGGAGTACGATACTAGAAAACACAGTGAAACCTAAGCTTAAAAAAAAGCTGTATTTATAAGAATCAATAAGAAAAAAGTATGGGGAAAAAAAGCTGTTACAAATGTCATGGTATGTTTCATATTTTACTTTTATTTTGTCTTGACTAATAAGCATTGTTTAAACATGTCTTTTATGGATGATTGTGAGAAAAATAAGATAATGTGTTAAAAACTGGCCCTGTGGCCCTGGCTGGTGTGGCTCAGTGGACTGAGTGCAGGCCTGCAAACCAAAGGGTCACTGGTTCGATTCCCAGTCAGGGCACGTGCCTGGATTGTGGGCCAGGTCCCCAGTATGGGGTGTGTGAGAGGCAACCACACATTGATGTTTCTCTCCCTCTCTTTCTCCCTCCCTTCCCCTCTCTCTAAGAAAATTAAGTCTTTAAAAAAAATCTACCTACATTGTAGTTTGAGTATAATCATAAACACAATTAGGCATGCAACTTCTACTATAAGAATTTACAAGTGAATTATTAGCATCCATACACCTTAACCAGAGAATCAGGTGCTAAATCCAGAATTAGCAACAAGACTCCCAGATTCCTTTTTCCCTCCATCTTCTTTTTGCTAGTGTAGTGGAAGGCTTTTGGGGGCTAAGATATATTTAATAGTATATATGACGGGAAATCCTACTTAATCGTCAGGGGGAGAGGGCCAAACTTGGACTTATTTTTCTCATTTTCTCCTCTGCGTTAGCTGTAAGAATGCACCTCACTCGCCTCCAACAACAGGTAACTTGAATGACCGAGGGCCCTTGTCCCCTGCTCTGAAGCCCAGGGCTGCTTTTGCAGGTGGGGCGCAGGGCGAGTCTCCCACTGCAGCTCCAAGCCAGGGCCTCGGAGGAGCGGGGCGGGGCTGCCCTGGAGGTGGGGACCCCTGGAGGGCTGAGGGCTGGAGCACTGTCCCTGTGTGGTCCCACTGAGCCGGCCTCAGACCACCCAGCAGCCCAGGGGGCCCCCGTCCCTGCCCCCCAGATGCCTGCCCTCTGTCTGTCAGGGGATCCCGCTTGTAAGTGCCGAGGTCGTCCGCTTCCCCGGCCCCGCCCCTCGGCTGGGCAGGGGTTCCCCTCGCGGAATTTCTCTCGCAGGAATGGAATTGTCCCTGCTCGCTCCTGTGTGGGCATCGCGGCTGCCGCTCGGGTACCTAGACTTACGCAGTCGCCTACGAGTTCTGTAAAAAGACACCATCCTGCGAAGTCACTCAGGAGAGAAAGGGTGTTTGCTCTGATTTTAATGACAACGGAATTATGCGAACTCTGTTGGGTGCTTAACTTGAGGAAAGGTGAAGGTTTGTGTCGGGGAGAGCTGGCCGCTCAGCCGGTCTCCCAGGCGCCTGGTCGACCGTCTGTGGGCGCGGGCACTAGCTCTCGGCAGGGCGGGCACTCCGCCGGTCAGACCCGGGGCTCGCGTCCCCGCAAGTGGTGACGTTGCTCAGGAGGACTGGAAGTATTAAGCAGTTCCTCAGTCATGTTTTCGACATTGAAAGATGCTTAGTAAGAAATTAGAAGGACGTACTTCTCAGAGTGTGTTGATAGCTGATATCTTCAGAAAAGGAGGAGAATTCAATCTAGTAAGTGTAACAGATGGCTTGCTGTACCTACTGGGTAAACCTTGCCGTCTATTCGTACGATTTCTACAAGCATGCTCATATTTCACGTTAGTGTTAAAGGTCCTCCTTTTTCTTGCAGAATCACAGTGAAAGATTCGTCTTCATTACAGAGTGGTTTGATCCGAACGCTTCGCTTTTTCGGCGTTATGAGCTCCTGTATTACCCAGGGGACGGGTCCGTGGAGATGGTAAACGACGGAGTCTGTGTTTGCGGGACCGCTGGCGAGGGAGCGAACCTGGGGCGGGGAGAGGAACCGGGCTGCATTTTAGACCCGAGCTTAAAAATACTTTCACACGTATATTTTTTAACGGGAATTCCTTGACTGGAGTGGGGTAATTCAAGTTTTGGATTAAGCGACAGTCAATATGTGGTTATAGATAAAGGTTATCTCGGTCTATAAATATGTCACCGTTATTGAAAGCTGCTGGCTCTTCACAAAGCCACTTGGAAGAGGATCGAGCTGAGGTCCCGCTCATTCCCGTGTCCCTTCATTGGCGACCCGTTTCACGGGTGCGTCTGTGTGGTGCTGGGGTCTGTGTGGGCGGGAAAGCGGAAACCGGGCACGCCCCTGGGACTTCAGAGGCACTGATTTGCTGAAATGATTTGGCAGCACACAAATCTTTACGTTCAGGAACTTGAAAAAAGTATCCAATGTGTAAGAATTTTTTATGTTATTCCTGGAGTAGCCTAGGAACTATAGAAGTTATGAAAGAAATTATGAGTTGCATTTACAGCAAAAACGAAACAAAATGCAGCCTAACTTTACTATAGCAGAACTAAGAACCTTTCCTAGTTTATGATCAGGTTGACTATCCCCCACCTGTAACCGCGCGTTTCATGACGCTGGTGTTGTGGTTCCAGCACGACATGAAGAATCATCGCACCTTCTTGAAGCGCACCAAGTACGAGGGTCTGCACCTGGAGGACTTATTCATCGGCAACAAAGTGAACATCTTTTCTCGACAGCTGGTGCTCATCGATTACGGGGATCAGTACACAGCCCGCCAGTTGGGCAGTCGGAAAGAAAAGTAAGAAAACAATCATACCCTTTTTTTTTAAAATCTGAAAACATTATGTCTTGGTACCAAATTCTAATTTTGTTTGTTTCTATCTTTAGATATATATTTTTTAAAGATTTTATTTCTTTGTGTTTAGAGAGGGGAAGGGAGGAAGAAAGAGAGGGAGAGAAACATCAATGTGTGGTTGCCTTTCCTGTGGCCTGCACTGGGGACCTGGCCCACAACCTAGGCATGTGACCTGACTGGGAATCTAACCTGCGACCCTTTGGTTCACAGCCCACGCTCAATCCACTGAGCTATGCCAGCCAGGGCCTATCTTTAGATATTTTTCAGTGATCCAGTCCAGTGTTATGACATTTGTAGCATTTTGTGGACCAGACTCTGTGACTTGCTCTTCTCTTGGCTTCCGCGGTAGTGAAGTCTTAGGCAGTGATTATTTTCTAGAGGAAAAAAATACAAGGTTTTTATACCCTCGCAGCAATCATAGTGACATGCATCCAACTGGAAACCAAGACTGTTGGAGTAGAAAAGTCTTGCTGTAGGGGATAAGCATGGCTTATGGGGAAAAAGTAGTACCTTAAGCTGTAGACTTTCCTTGGTAAGATCAGTATGGTACATTTATTTATGTCATTATTGGTATTTTTGTACATATTTCTACCATTTTACTGCTTTGCTGCTTTTTTCTTTTTTTGGTTAGTTGATGTGTGGGTGTTTTCTAACTCTGGCATATTAAAATGATGGCTTTAATATGTTTTTTCCTAAGCTTTATTATTGCTGTTAGATTGGGTACCTTGTTTTGATTTTCTTGGGAAAAATATGAAGTTGACTTAGTTTGTAGAAGTTTCTAAGAGCCCGTCAGTGCACGTGTCTCTGTCATTTATCGTGCTGTTTGGTGGTGCAGGATGATTAAGGAAACGGAACAGTGCTTGGGAGTTAAGAGGAAAACCTGCCGGGTTACTCTTATTTTCAAACTTATTCTGTGTTTCTTTACAGAACATTAGCCCTGATTAAACCAGATGCAGTTTCCAAAGCCGGAGAAATCATTGAAATGATAAACAAAGCCGGATTCACCATCACCAAGCTCAGAATGGCGCTGCTGTCCAGGTGGCTGGTGGCTCACTTTCCGTCATGCATGTCCGACTCCCTTTTTTTAAAAGAAAAAATCATCTTTTCTCAGTCATGTCATTGTTTACCATTTAAAAAGGCAAAAAAAAATAGAATTGTAATCTAATTAGAGTGAGAAAATATAAGACAACTGGTAGTCAGGGCTTGAACTCTGACCAATTAGTTGTCAGATCATACTTGCCTCATTACCTGTGTATTACCTCCCACAGCCCATCTGCTTCCCTTGTAGCTCCAGTGTGTGGTCATGGTAACCTCTTAGTATGTCAGCGTAACACTGCGTAAAAATGGTAGAAAAAAAAATGGATGTTGCATTATTCCCATCTGACATGAGAGTGTTATTGTCGAGGTTTTCAGAAGTGATGCATTTGGAAATGTTCGGGCTTAGCTCCCCCCGACATATATAACTGGGAAATGTTCCTGCTTGCTGCTCTGGGATGCAGCCTGTCCCATGTGATCAGGTGTTTTCTGAGTTACTCGGTGAGAGCAAGACTCGCCCAGGGCAGGGACTTTCCTGCGGCAGCGAGGTGGGGCTGGCTCCGGCCCCGTCACCGCGCTGGCGTTTGTGTGTGTGTTTGTGGTCAGGTGTCTTCTTACTGTCCCTGGATCTCCGGCCCACGGGACAGCTGCCCCTCCCTCTCTGCGAGCGCTGGGACACGATGGTCGATGTCGCTTCCATGAGTTCAATCCCTAGAAACCTCATTGACAAAGCACCCTCAATGTAACCGCAACAATGACATACATTTAATTTGGATTTTCCCCCTCTGTGAGATCTCCCAGCTTTATATTTTCGGGGAAGGCAGGAGGCTTATATCCCAGAGCACAGAGTCCGGAGCTGGTTTGCTTGTGACCGTGCCCGTTACTAGGCGAGTGACCGTGAACAGTTCGCCTCTGTGCTTCGGCCTCTCCGCCTGTCAAAGGCTGGTCATGGTGGCGCCTGGGCAGAAACTTGTGGGCGTGACGGGAGTTGAATCTGTGTGAGGTGCTTTGAGAATGCCTGGCTCGCGGCGAGTGTGCCTCGTTGTCCACTGTAAGTAGTGGTGGTACTACTACTAGCCACTGTTACTCGGTGGAAACCAAGGCCATGACCTTTGTAAGTGGTTACCTTGGCCCCGTGGCTGTGTGTATTGAGAATGCTTGCTCTTAGAGCAGGCACTGAATGCTGGAGAGGTGACGGTGAGATGGAACATTCTTTACGTCCCTGCACCTCCACGGGCTGATAGTTTGGCATCAGACTTCCCGTGCCGGAGATGCCCAAGAAAACTTCGTCTTTAATTGTCCATACCACCTCACGCGTCTCTGTTAGCATCACTGTCGAGGCTTGGGTCTCGCCCGACTTAAAGGCTAAAGAGCTGGCCTGTTACTCTTTCACGGACGCGAGCAGAAGACACGCGGCTTCTGGGTTGGAGACGGGGACTGCTGTGGCGCAGCACGCAGCACGTGGCTCCCCAGCCTCCTCCACGTCCCCTGGACGTAAGCGCCTATGGGCCCTGGTGGGTGTTGTGGACACAACTGCCTGCATCCCAGCTGAGGAGCACTGGACCTGGGCTACCCCCCGTTTCATTAGCAAACAAGCCTGCTCGTCATACCAGAGAGAGGCCTGGCCGCATCTCTCCAGGTTACCCTCCGTAAACAGAACTCGGAGGAGCGCGGGAGACAGAGCAGCCTGGGTAGGGTTAACCGTGTGGGGGGGGGGGGCGTGCTGGAGCACCAGAGCCCCTCGTGTAGTGCCTCCCGAGGCTCCCGTCTTCTCTGCCCTGGGGTCAGTTCCCCCATTGCTACAGGGTGCTAAAGGCAGTCTCCGAGTTTCATCCGACTTTGCGGTTCTAGCTCTTGGATCGACTCTTTAGTGAAGGTAGGCACGAAGATAGTATTTCATGAGAGAAATGGTTAGACCTTTGGGAGGGAATGGTGCATTTCTCTGTAAGAACAACAAGACTTCTATAAATGGCGATGCACCTCTTAGTACCTCTTTCCACCTGAACCTTTAAAGGTGGAGCTAGAGAGGAATGATGGGAAAAACTCGTGTCCTCTCGGCCCGGGCTCAGTTCTGGATGTGGAACGGAGGTGCCTGTGGGGCCAGTGGCGTGAGAGAAGGGAACGCTGAAGCAGTTTCCGTGGTTTACCGAGATTTTCTCACTGACAGTAAAGAGGACAGCTTTTCTCTCCCCGTGGTCCGGCTGTGCTGAAGAAGTCGAGTCGGTCATTCCGTAGTCTTGCTGCCGGCTCCCCGGTAGCGCGCCCCGCGTGCGTGGTCAGGCCCGCAGTTCCGCTCCGTGTCAGGCTGTAACGCAACACGTCCATTTTGTCTTTGTGACTTCTTCACCTGGCCCTCCAGAACTTTACTTTCTGAGGATGGTGGTAGAAAGGGCATAAGGAAAAAAATTGAAAAAAGGAGAGAGAGTTGAGCATCCTATTTGGTAAAAAATAATTCAAGTATAGATCAAATAGAGGATTTCATTTTATTTTATTAATGCAAGCTAAAACAATTTTCTTATGCAATTGCTAACTATTGTCATTTTGATTATTTTATAGGAAAGAAGCATCAGATTTTCTTATAGACCATCAGTCGAGGCCCTTTTTAAAGTAGGTACTGAATTTTGGGGGCTAATGGTGTATAATGAAGAAAATCTTAGAAAACCAAAGAGTCATAATTTCACAATTAAAAGTTTTGCTACACGAGAATAATCTGCCAAAAAGACCACAGCAACATCTTGCAACTGCAGAGAAGTTTTTTCTGAGAATCTGTTTGGCTGTCCTTTTATTAGATAAGAATTCTTATCTTGTCATTAAATATATTGAAAGTATAATCTGAAGCAGATAGGATGATTTTCAAATTATAGGGAACATAGATTTCTTTTTAGATTTCAGTAGATTTAAAGTGGAGTGGTTATTATATTTCATGCTGAATATTTTTTTGCTATACTTTAAAGCTATTTCCAGTATTGTCATGTCTATAAATCAATGCTCATCGAACCCTTCTATTTTACATAATGTTATATACATTTTGTTCCTTGAACTATAGTAAAAGATACATCTTAGAAACTGATCTGTGTTCTCCACATTTGGGTGGTTTTTACATTGAAGAACCGCCCGTGTGCGCGTCATATTGCTGCTGACAGAGGGGCACTTGCGTGTCTAACACAGAGGGGTGTCAGCCGAGCTGCTCAGACAGATGTGCTCCTTGGCATCCTGCACAGAATAGAGTTTTTTTTTTTACATTAAGATTTTATTTACTTATTTCTAGAGAGAGGGAAAGGGAGGGAGAAGGAGAGGGAGAAAAGCACCGACTGCTGCTCACGGGAGACTTTCCGTGGCTGCCTCTCACACACACATGCGCGCGCGCACACACACACACACACACACAAAGTACAGGAAGAGGCTTTGTTCCTCGCACCCGGGGGGGCGGCACTGTGTGGTGCAGTGGGGGCTTTTCCTCAGGAACCTGTGTGCAGGCTCCGACAGCTCACGGCAGGGACGAGTCACAGCGGCGTTTGTACCCGTGAAGGCGTATTTCTTGAAAGCCTGTTGATTTCCATTTCGTATAACTAGACCAACGGAATGCTTGTTGCTTGAAACCTGACTGTCATTCTTTGAATTCTTACAGTTTTACACAAAGTAAGTACTACGAACATGTTATAAAACATCACTCTCATCTTATGAAATTTTACCTGACTGTAGTAACAAAGCACCTGAAAACAGCAGGGTCTTCCTGCACCTTTCAGGGCAGCAGGAAGAGCACAGACCACCTGTGTGCACTTCAGCCGTGAAGTGGTGTCCGTTCAATGGAAGTGGTGTTTCTGCCAGCAGAAATATCTTTGTTGGTATTTGTTGTCAAATACCTTGGACAGCGCTGGCCATTCGTAGTGGGTCAGGTTACTGCAGGTCACTCAGTTCATGAAACTGCATCCCGCCCCTGTCAAATTCGCTCCGCCCAGTAGTTCTGGGATCAGAACGCCCGCGTGTGTGTTGACATACTCAAACGGCACTGTGTCCTCATTGTGAAGGGAGACAGACACCCAGGCTGACCGAGGTGCGAAGCAAATCCATCTTTTTCACCTGTCTCCTAGTGAGCTGATCCAGTTTATTACGAGTGGTCCTATTATCGCCATGGAGATTCTAAGGGACGACGCCATATGTGAGTGGAAGAGACTCCTCGGGACCGCCAACTCCGCGGTGGCGCGGGCGGACGCGCCCGGCAGCGTCCGCGCCCTCTTCGGAACCGACGGCATCAGGAACGCGGCGCACGGCCCCGACTCCTTCGCTTGCGCTGCCAGAGTAAGGGGTTTCACAGGGGCCGGGATTCCGCTCGCGCACGCGTGAAACGTCTGACGCCCCACTGTAGCGTCGCTGTCACTGCGGACTCGGGTGGACTCGTACAGCTAATCTCGTAGGAGAAGCCGCCTGGGCCCTTGTGCCTGGGATGAGACAGTGGTTCAGGGTCTGTCCCCCCGGTGAGCTGGTGAGCTGGTCACAGCCACGGTCTTCCGTTGAAATACGTGTCCCGCTTCTTCTTCCAAAGACCGACATTACTGAGGCTCCTCAGTGTTTGGATGATTGAATTTGTGGACAAATACCAGTCTATGGACTGTGAATAGTAAAAAAAAAAAAAAAGGCATTACTTGATATAGTTTTCCCTTGACTCCTAACATGCTATTGTCCAGCTCAACATCCTTTTATTTTCATTTATATATGTGTACCTGGTGTTTACGAAAACGTTTTTCTACAATTGCCTCTTATTCTAAATCCATACAAATAAGGCGTCGCACGGGGTCCACACTGACGTGGAATTCACACGGCACAGGCGTGTGCGTGGCATCGCGAGAGGTTTCTCAGCCCACGCAGTGCGCTTTTCAGTCTGCTCGTGTTTGCAGTGAAATCGCATTAGACAGTTTTATAGTAATTGATTTTTCTTTCCCTTACAACTGGATTAAAAAATTTCTTCAGCTCGCCTTTCCAATCAGACCTGAATCTGATTACTGTGGTCCCCATCGCCGTCATATCTGTACGAACAGCCTCAGAGGCCGCCTGTTTCGTCTTTTCTCTTGTCCGCTTGCACTCAGTTTATGAAAATTTTACCTCGCCCAAGCAAAATGAACTGCGCCCAGAGTGGTCATTCTAAAACAAATTAAATTGTATTAACGATTCAACCACCGAAAGCCCTCCGGGGAATTGTCGTGCCTTGTGGAGCAGCCTTCAGAGCTCTGGCCAGCTGCCCCCCCCCCCCGCCCTCTCCAGCGTCGGCTCTGCCGTCTCTCCTGGACCCTGTGGGGTTCCAGGCGTGCTGACCACCTTCCGCTCCCAGAGGAGAGCACTTCTGCCTCCCTCACTCACTCAGCGGACAGTGAAGGCGGCCGCGTGGTTGGACGGGGGAGAGGTGGGAGGCCGTGAGAGTGGCCGTGTGGTCCTGCAGACCCCGGCAGTGCAAGGCGGCCGGCCGTTTCTCTGAGGACGGTGGGGAGCCATTGCAGGGTTTCGATGGGAAGGCGGGCGTGCTTGGCTCGCCGCTTAGAGAAAACACCCCGTCTGCTGCGCTGAGAAAAGACTGCAGAGGGCGGGGCCAGCAACAGGGGCCCCGGGGACAGGCTGCAGGAAAAGTCAAGGCAGGTGCTGGCGTGGACGGGGCGGTTGCAGTAAGAGGAACATACAGATAGAGTTTTAAATACGTTTTAATGGGTGAAGGTCAAGTGGTCGAGATTTCTGTCCAGCCTGAACAAGGAGCGATGAGAAAGAGAGAGAGGTCAAGGATTACTCCGAAGTAATCCTTTAGGCCCCGTGGGGAATGGGCGGTTACTTGGAGCCATTCGGTGTGGTTCTAAAGGGTCCGAAAACCTGTGCGAGTCGGTCCCTGTCCTCAGATCTGTGATTTGCAGGAGACGCTCACCCAGATCACCGCGGCAGCACCCAGGGGCGCTGGGTGCCTGCTGGGGTCGTCAGGAAAGGCCTCCGGGAGGAGGTGATGTTTGAAGTGGTCCTTTGGGGCTCGGGGCTGAGGGCTTCATAAGGAAGAGTAGGAACAGTAGTACTAAAAGCTTAGAGACGGGGAAGTGTCTGTTTAAACAGGAAGAGAAAGGAGGAAGAGAACCGAGGAGGGAGGGTGGCCGTCCTTGTGACTCTCTCTAGTCGCTGGGCTGTCGGTTCAGTGCACTGTGAGGGGAACAGCTCGGCCGGAGCCCGGCCGTGGAGGTCGGTTCAGTCCCTGTGGCTCTAGCTCAGGACCGCAGCGAGCCAATCATGTCAACCAGCCGTGGTTCTGGTTCTCGAGTACTGACTGATCTCTGTTTCTGTGAGACTTCTCAGTTTTCGGTTTTATTTTACATATTTCGATACAATGGTGAAAAGTGGACTTGTGTTTCATGACTTAAATCTTTGGGGAAAATAAGAACCGTATATTGATTACTTCCAATGTTCAAAACACGTTACGACATTATCAGTTTTAATCATGGGTCAGAACGATCCATGTTCTCATTTGCCCTAAGTGATGCTTCTTTGTATGTTCTTTTGATTCCAAGACTTTCAGTGGGGTTTAGTTCATTAGTTTTAATCAGTTAAAATCATTTTCAGAAAATTGGAAGCGAGGAGTTTGTATCACCGAACTCCAGAAGTAAACGCACAGTTCTTCCTCTTCACAAACGCGTGCTAGGAGTTCCGGAGAAGACACCGCGTGTGCTGATGTCATGCCTCTCTGTTTCTAGGAAATGGAGTTGTTCTTCCCCTCCAGTGGGGTCTGCGGGCCGGCGAGCACGGCCAAATTCACCAACTGCACCTGCTGCGTCGTCAAGCCCCACGCCATCAGCGAAGGTGAGCGCCCTGTCGGGCACAATGCGTGCGACTCATTTTATGCATCAGAACCTCTTTGGTCAACGTCTGTTTTCTTGGTGTGTTTTATATGTAGACATTAAAGTGTAACTGTGATATTGCATTTACTGTTTTCAAAGGCACAGGAGGGTGACAGAATAGGAGGGCCAAATCTGTCTAAGTCAACATTTACCTCTGTCTTTGCGTCTGTGCGTTTTTGGAAGGTGCTCCTCGGGTTGCCGATCGCGGCCATGCGCCCCCTGCGCAGGCCTGGGTTCCTGCCCTCGCAGCCCCACCTCCTGTCCTCCCGGCCACGTGGCTGTGGTTCACTGCGCTCACTCTGGCAGCGCTGCCGACGCACAGCCCAGCACAGCCTCTGCTGTGTCTGCAGTCCGCCCCTTCTGGGCAAGCCGGGGAAACTTCCTTCCGCTCTCAGTGTCTGCAGCAAAGTTTGTTAACTAATACATGTGTGCTATTAAATATATATATGCACAAATGTACACGACAGCTAGATAGATAGTTGTGTGTGTGTGAATGTATACCGAGAGTTTGCAAGGTTTTCATATTTCTTTCTTTGAGTATTTTAGTCTGTTGTATTTTTGTCAGCTATCCCAGATCCTTTTGGGAGTGAGATGGGATATAGTTTCAAACTCATCCTTAAAACATTAGAATATACTAAATAATGCACATAATTGAATGGATTAAACATTCTTTTCTAAGTATTAAAGTAATTCAGGCATACAGTGGAAAACAGCAGAAATGAAGCAAGCAATGGAAGTTACCTGTTCTTCATCATCCCGAGGTGGTCATTGTAGATATTTTGGTATTTCCTGTAGATCATTTCATTCTGCACGTGTGTGTACGTGTGTGTAACAGACGCACACGGATGTAGTTGTTCACATGGTCGAGATGCGGGACTCCAGGCTGTGGGTTTGACTTAATCTGGGGAGCACGTTTGGCTGCTCTTACTCTTCATGAATATTCGAGTAGTTGTACACTATGTGACCGTACAGATGTAACATAATAGTTGGATACTTAGGAAGTTGCAAGTTGTTTGATGTTAAAAAGAAAGCTTTGAAGAATATTTTTATGCTCCGTAAATATTTGACACTATTTCCGATCCCTTCCTCTGGCTAGTTACCTAGTAGTAGAACTATTGGTTGAAAGGAAAAGATCTTGTTGCGTAATTAATGCTCCTTTAATTATTTAGGAAGTACTTAAATATCTTTTTGATCTTTGGGACCATAATTACAAGAAAACAACATGCCTGGTGGGTAACAAACGTTTATGGAGAACTCGCCACTGTGTGCCAGGCAGCGGACCAAGTCCCTGTACATTACCTCTCTGAATCTCAGCGCTCGTGCCAGACAGGTGGAGGTTACTTACACACACATATGCGCACGCGCGCACACACACACACATACACACTAGACAGACACACGTTTTCATCTGAGGAGACAAGTTCTTGTTAAAGGCCTCAACTGGATAAAAAGCTTAAGTTTGGCATCTTAGTACATTCACTGTGATCTTAATTGATTTAATTTTTTCCAAGAAAAAATGTGCTGCATGGAGATAGAAAAAAAAACCCAGAATACTAGATACAGACCTTAGTAATTGCAGAGACAAGTATCCAAGTCTGTTTAGAATGATCGTATAAGTGAAAGGTGATGTCAGGGTGACTATTTGCACGTTGACACAGGTTTGACTCGCTTCTAGAGCTATCTTTAAAGATCAACTAGATTTTACGTATTAATATTTGATATGTAACATTGGAGGCAAATGAGTTAAAGTAAAAGAAATCTTTGTAAAATTTAATCAGATGGCAGAATAAACTTTGTCATTTGAAGGCTTTTTTTTTCCCTTTTATTTCTAAACTTCTGGCTTAGGGACACTGCAAGGCCATTTTGAAGCATGTAATTAACCCATGAGCTTGGCGTCAACCTGTGGCTGCAATAGAACGCAGTTTGACGTCTCACAGTGAATGGATGACTTGGGCCCCTCAGCCCCGTTCAGCGCCGGTTTGTGCTCATCTTGTTCTGTGACGGCCCCGCTCCCGGCACGTCCTGCTTCCCCTGCAGGCCAGTGCAGGCGCAAGCGAGCACGAGGTCGCAGGAGGCGTTGCCAGTGAGAGAGCAGCCGGCAGGGGACAGGGCCGTGGGACCACCAGCTGCCCGGAGGAGGCCGCAGGCGCCAAACCCTGGTCACTGCTCGTCACCGTCGGCAGAGCACAGCCTGGGGGAGTGGCAGCAGGCTTGACGAGGGAGGGGTCGCAGACAGATTTCGTGGGGTTTCGGGTGGGCCCTGAGAGTCGGAAGGTGGCCTGCCAGTGCGGCGAGCTGATTGAAACTGGGCAGAGTTCCTGATGCCCGAGTTCAGGGTCAGCGGGGCCGGCGAGGCAGGGGTCTCAGCCAGGTCTCGTGAGGGCACCGCTGTCTGGGCAGTGAGCTGTGGACCGAGTCGAGGAAATGTGGTGAGAAGGGGGTCGTGTGAGCAGTCTGCTGTGGGGTGAGTGCGCTTTGGGGGCGTTCCTGACACACGCAGTGAAGCTATTTACTGATTCTCAGCCCTGTCTTTGTGCCCGAGAACTTCTTGGCACAAGTAACAAAGTCACGTGGATGGAGCCGCCTCAGTTCTTAGTCCTGGAGTCCATCTGTGATGGGCCCAGGGCCCTCGCCGCGCTTCTGAGAGCACGAGAGAGGGGGTTCAGAGTGAGGGGCGGGTGGTGGAGAGAACCCTGGGGCAGACTGGGCGCGTGCGGTTTTGTTGGACGCGTGGACTGAACGCAGGGTACGGCACAGATCACGCCCCTTTGTTATTACAAAATCTTATTACCAAATCATAAGCATGTCCTTCTGTAACATAACTCTCACACACCAGCACACCATATGACGTTTTAGGTGAAATGTTGGAATTAAAACTATCAGTTATTACACCCGGTTTACGACCCTGCCGACCACACTCAGACAGGCCTGACCCCTGCAGGCCCTGCACACTTTGTCATTTGGGAGACTCAGTTTGAGAGGGGAAGGGAACCGAGGGGACTGTCTGTGTTCTTGTTTCCTTTTTAATTTCCAGACTGTGCCGTGTGTCCGTTTTGAGGGCCCCAGTGTTCTTATGTGTAGTTAGTCCAGCTCCGCTGACAAGTGTGTCTCACCCTGAGAGCAGGCCGCGCAGGCCCGCATTCTGGCCCCACTGCCCACCCACCAGCTGCGGGGTGGGGGCGCGGGTGAGTGAGCTGGTCCCTTCCTGCCTTGTTTCCTTCCTCTCGGGGTCACTGGGAGGGTTAAGTGCCTCGAGGGTGATGGCGGAGTGACTGCACGGTCAACGAAACACAGGGACCAATGTCCTATGCCCAATGCCCGGTCCCCAGTGCCCGGCTAAGGGCTGTACCTGTGGACATGATTGTTATCGCGGTCGCTCTGCTTCTGCTATTACCTTGACTACCGATACTTCATTGTTTTTCAATTTTTAAGTTGAATGGCTCCTTAGTAACCAAGCGATAGTTTAAAATGCCAGCAAAACCCGATATTCACATCTATCATCCGCAGAAAGAAAGAAACTCTTTGTTATTGGTTAAGGAACAAAGCACCCGCATTGCTTTCCTCGGCTACAGCCGGGTCCAGTGGAGGTCCACGGAGCGGGGTGTCGCCTGCCCCGTGGGCACTCGGCGGCCGTCCTCCGTTACCTGCCCCGCCTGCCCCTCAGGGGGGCCCTGGGCAGGAGGAGGCAGCCAGATCCGATCCGGGAGAGCGGCCTCTGCCCTCGTCATGGCCCCAAAGGCCCGCCTTCTGAAGTGTTGGAGGGCGGGAGTGTGGTCCAGCATTTCTCCTTGCAGCAGATTCCTGCATAAACAGCTTGACGGCATCGCTCATAACGTTGTCCTTTCTGAAACTGAGCTGCTTCCTCAGGAAAACGAATCAAGATGGTTAAAAGTTTCCTCTTGGCTTTTAAACTCAGATATTCTGTTACTCTGTAAAATTGCGTTGAAAATTCTTATCAAAGAAAATTGTATTCTGCATCTCAGCATTGTGTTTTGGCTGTAAAAAACTTTTTCATGGAGTCTGTTTGAAAGCAATGGTAGATTGTATTTTTGAAGAGACGTATAATAGAGACAGTTTGGGGTTGTCTGTTTGCGTTTCGTTGATTAAGAAGCACATTATTTAACAGAATATTGGCCAGTGTGTAAACGTAATGCCAGAATTGCCTCAATATGCTAGTTGAAACAGGACTGTTATCAGCAAAATTATATTTATCAAGTCCCCCACTTTTAAAAACCTGTTCTTACTCAGCACCTCTTCACGAGTTTTGGTTTCCTCCCCGAACGGTCATCCAGACGCTGGGCAGGCCGGCAGCCCCGTGGAGACACGCCGTCCCACAGAAGCCCCCCCCTGAATTCGGGCTGATCCCAGCTCTCTCCGCAGTTGATTTTCTCCGCAGGTAATTCAGTTTCTGGGATACTGTGGAGGGGACATGAACCTTTTGGTGTAAAGAGATTGGATTTAAACCTCGTAAATGTAACTCAGTCTCAATAAAAAGTCTTGGAGTGGGCCCAGCTTTGCTGAGCATGACACGGTTTTGGGGTTTTGGGGTGGTTTTATGTTCTATCTGAAATAGTGAACAGTAAGGGAATTTGTAACAAATGCGCCAGGTAGATTAAACTGTATATAACACTCTGACTTTGAATGCACAGAGCTTAGCATGCATTTCTTTCTCCTTTTTTTAAGATTTTATTTATTTTTAGAGAGAGGAGAAGGAGGGAGAAAGAGAGGGAGAGAAACATCAATGTGTGGTTGCCTCTTGTGCGCCCTGTACCCAGGGGACCTGGCCCGCAACCCAGGCATGTGCCCTGACTGGGAATCAAACCAGCGACCCTTTGGTTTGCAGGCTGGTGCTCAATCCATTGAGCCACACCAGCCAGGGTAGCATGCATTTCTGAAACACTGTATATAGGCAGTGAAAATAACTCGTGAATGTGTAGGTTATGGGAACTTGAAATTAGTGAT